AAACAAACAAACAAACAAACAAATAAGGTTCACTCCTGAGTTAACAGGCCTAAGACTACAAATAATTCTAGACAAATAATTAAGACTCTGTTGCTAAAAATGTGATTCAAAAGCATCAGCTTAGAGTTTCGCATTAGCAACCTACAAGATGGAAACATACATCAGCTCCAAACCATTCTGACACACAGATAAAAGACATCGGCCAAAATCCTCTTTCTTAGTTATGCCAGCCTAGTGCTAATGATGTAATTTTTGAAGACAAATTGTCTTAAGTAAAGAAATTACTAAAGATATTATCTCTTAGCTACTGAATTATGTGCTGCAGGGCACAACAGATAAATGTCTGTGGTAATTTCACATAGTCTGGATCACATCATCCATAGGGTCCCTTCCAGCTCTACATTTCTAAAATATTATTATATTTATTTCATAGCCTGAGGCAAATTTTCTCCTAAAGCTATGCTGTTACTTTTACAATAGAGCAACTATGGAAGGGGATTTGGGACATATTCTTGGGTGACAGCTTCATTATGTCTCTCAGTCTAATCCTGTATACATCTATTCAGAAGTGTGTCTCCTTGGTCAGATTCCTTTTGCCAATTCATGCTTACATAAAGGAAATTTCACAAGCCTTGGCTACAAATTAACGCTCATTAACAAGATGTTGTTTGTGTTCCCAGGCCCGTGCTCAATTCAGGTGTGCAAACAGCACCTCATTAATGAGCCATTGTTTGATGCCAAGACTTAGTTGATTTACTAAGGGGCAGATTGCAAACTAATTTGCATAACACCAACAACCCATTCCCCCCACCTAATACCAGGCTAAATTGCAACTTAACTAGCATTTTTAAAACACCTTAGGTAAAGGTAAAGGTTCCCCCTGACATTTAGTCCAGTCGTGTCCAACTCTAGGGCGTGGTGCTCATCCCCGTTTCCAAGCCATAGAGCCAATGTTTGTCCGAAGACAGTTTCCGTGGTCACATGGCCAGCGCAACTAGACACAGAACGCCATTACCTTCCCACTGTGGTGGTATCAATTTATCTACTTGCATTTTTACATGCTTTCAAACTGCTAGGTTGGCAGGAACTGGGACAAGCAACAGGAGCTCACTCCATTGCATGGATTTGATCTTATGACTGCTGGTCTTCTGATCTT